TGATCAGAAATGTTATGCCTCAGAACATCCCGGCGGCGCCGACTGGGATTGAGCCCAGGCCTGCTGGGGTGAGAGGTTATCACGCTTACCACTGCACCACGGGCGCCTAGTAAAATCATTGAAAACATTTTTTTTCCAAAGTATTGTTTGTTGGAGCTAAACGGAGCCGAGGGACTATTTTGTTTTTACAATTACCGAGCTCTTGGATTTTTTGTCCAATTATTTTTTTTTTCTGCATCGCTTAGTATGCCACCACATTCACCCAATGTTTCTGCTATGGCAGGCACCAAAGCATATGAGGTTCAGGTTCTTGGGCTTCGTTTTCGGTCGTCACTTCCATTTTTACCAACTCCTCATGTTACTTCTTCTGTTTCCTGGTTGTTGCTGTCCAACGATACTGCTTCAGCTACTGCTACACGACCACCGAGAGTAACTCAGTAACTGAGTCAAATTCGACTCAAAAGTGTAAAAAGTGGGTTTATTCAGTAGTAGTGAGTAGTAGTGGTGAGTGAGTAGAATTTTTCTAGATTTTCCAGGAAAAACTTCTTGAATATGAGGCAAACCGAAAGGTCTAAAAATAAATAACCTAGACTGAGTCACATGTCCGTCGATTTTCCTCACATTCAAGCAGTTTTTCTAGAAAAGCGAGGAAAATTTGCCATATTCACTGAGTAACTCTACTTTTTGCAATTTTGAGTCGAATTCGACTATATTCGACTAGTTCGTGAAGATTTGCGTGCCATTATAATGCTTCTGTGTTCCTTGAGTCTCGGTTAATCGCAAACAACTTTCAGATATATGTTCTGTACTTCCTGTTCCACGGTTGATCGTGGGTGATTTTTATTCCCACGGTACACGCTGGAAGGACCTTTTTTTAAAAGCTTTATTAGTAAGATTTTTATAAACTAAGCGCACCCCTCGAGTAATACTTAGAAACCCATTCTAGCCCACTAGTGAAAATATGATATGTCGCTTGATAGGTTTTGGCTCAAGGCAATCACTTACCCGGAGGAATTTGGAGCATGTGAGCCTACATAATTTAATGCATTATCTTTAACGTGCCCACGTTGACATTTATTACACTCCCCCCCCCCGCCTTCCATAACCATGGACTTTGCTGTACCCCCCTCCCAAGTTATCCACGTGGTATATCGACGGACCCGTAAGTATATTCAAATACACTACATGAGATCCTCTACATACATAAATATGGTATGGTTCAGGAGAAAAATATTTGTTTAAACACTTGCCAGGCCATACAATCAGAACGAAATATGTTAAGTAGCCTTTATGAAAATGACCTTTTGAAAATAAAACTCGTTTTCCTTTTATAAATGTGTACTTGTAATTCAAAATGTATGCATACTGCTTTGAAATACTATGAACTTACAGAGATTTTAAGCTGGTATTGGTTTTCTGACGTTCTGAAAATCGAATGCGAAAGTTACATACAAAAAAGATGAAATATCGTCACCAAAATTATTATTTTCTTAAGTTGGTGTACAACATAACCGAGTAGTGAAAAAAATCAATAAATTAATAATTAATTATTTTAAAGTTATCTGGCTTGCCTCAGTTGGAACATTCTATCTAGATATTCAGAACTCTGAACCCGGCTAAAAACTCTACTGCAGAAATAAAGTTGGTATGGATTTGCATGACAAAAGTGGTAAAATTCTGATTTCTTGTTATAATACCAACACAGATTTAATACAATTTATACAGATTTTTTAGCATATTTTAAACCAAGAATCTGTATATACAGATATACAGATTTTTTGATTGGGTAAAAGTATATACAGATATTTTGATGTATGTCTTTAATTCAGCTAAATTTTTGCGTTAGTCTTACTTTCATTTTACCGTAACCTTGCCTCGAGAGTGTAGAACTCAATGAACTGGATTACCGGAGTGAAGTAATCGGGCATACACAACTGCATGACAGCACTGTACGTACATGCAATTACCTACGTCACAAATTGCATATATGTACGTTGTTTTTTTGGATTACTAATCTAGAATGATCTTATGGCGGTAAGCACCAACCGATATTATCCTCGGTTTAAATCCCGATATCGATTGTTGGGTTGATATGGTACCGACGGTGCTATTAACCAATTCAGTCTTAAGCAAACATTTGGCAGATTTTCCAAACAGGAACGGTATTATAAGTAAATCCAAGTTGAAGCTTACCGCTATTAATGTATTCGGCGCAAAATGTACTAACACGATTTGATGCAAAAGCGCACTTTTATGACCGATACCGCACTTCCAACACTTCTTTGTTCATTTTGGAGCGAAATACGCGATATTAAAACTATACAGATTTTTTTAAGAAGAAATACAGATGAAAAGATTTTTATAAGCAAAAATACAGATTTGCTTAGCTTAACGAGAATACGTAAATTCCCCTATATTAAGAAACTTTTAGTTGGGTCTCATTTGTGTACCATAAACAAATACATGAACTTTTCTCTTAATACCTTCCATTAACTGTTGCACAGTGATATCCACCACTTGTTTCTTAGCTTTTATTCACGTTCTTTTCATTTCCACTTCATTTTTGGCAATACCAGCTTCTCAGCTGCTGCTTCATAATTGCCCAGTATTTTTCGATAGGTTTGAATTCTAAGAAATTTGGCGGATTGTTGTCTTTGGGCAAAAAACTGACATTGTTCATCCTATACCATTCCACTGCATAATGGCACGAGGCTAAATCTGGCCAAAACACTGTTGAGCCGCCGTGTTGCTGCAAAAATGAAGTAGACTATTTTGGAGGCACTTCCATTTTGAAATCTACACAACAGAATCTCACCAAATTTAAAGGTTGTAAACAATACACGTCAAAGTATATTTCAACAAAATTTGGTAATTTTTCATCATATGCAGAATGAGTTATGGAAAATGTCAGTGGTGCAAAAATTACGTAGACACCCTTTAGGTATTTGGATCCACGGAGAGCAGATCCACGCCTAATGACGCATTGGAAAAACTCAACCTTCTACATAATACTTTGCATAATTGTGTGTGAATCAATCACATTTTTGCAAAAATTCTGCCATTTTGGATTTTGAAATTTGTTTTGAAAATGTCGTCTTTATCATTTTTTAATAAATTTTAGCATGAAAACGCCATTTTTGATCGAAATGACGTCTGACATAAAGTTTTAAAGAAAAATAAAGACCTTCTGTGAATATTACACATGGTATTTTTTGCAATTCTGAGCAAAAATAACTTCAATTATATGTATCGTTTTTTTCATAACTTTTGAACCACTGGGTTTATTTCAAAGATCAAAATATCAAATGATAGGTAATAATAAAACTTTTAAGGAAAAATATAAATTGAGATTTTGTATTAAAAACATTAATTGTATTTGTTTTCGATAGTTTTCATGGTTTGTAGGCTTTTTTACACATTATGTCACAAAATCAGCGAGGTGTTTTTTTTTCGTTTCTGAGTTAATTTTTTTAAGTTATCAAGTTTTGAGTTTTTGCTCAATACTCCTATGCGACTAGACTACCATGAGTCTCCATCGATTTATAGCGAATGTGACATGATTTTGTTGGACCACCCTAATGGAAATTGTTATCCTAATGACAAAATAAAGGAACAAAACTACCAATTTTAACAATTTTTTTTTGTCTCATAAATTTTCGCTATCTATAATGTATACTTGTGTGATATATGACGCTCCATTTATGTGCATCATAGTAACATAAATGCAAGGTTTATAAAGGAAATCAGATGTGCGATCATCTTTGTTATTATTTTGGCGATTTTTTTATTCTGTCACTCCGTCAAAAGCAACATCTCTCTCACTAAAGATTGACTTCATTTCAAGACCAACAATTGACATGGCCTCAACTCCTTTTTGTAAAAAAAAAAACTTGTTAGGCCATTTTGTCGTAAACCGAAGTCCACCAACGCTAACCAACAAAATTAACAGGTAGGGGAAATTCTCCTCTACCCGATTGTGTTTTAGGTTTGCGAATGTAGGTTCCGATTCGCGAGAAAATGGTCTTACAAGGATTTTTTTTACAAAATGGAGTTGTGGCCTTTTCAATTGATGGTCTTGATTTTAGAAAATGAAGTTCTACTGAGCGATAGATATAAATTTCCCATGAATCCCGAAAAACAAAAACATTATTCCCGGGAATCGGGAATCCCGGGAAATTTAATATCCCGGGAATTATTCTTCATTGGGTATCTTAAGGTGAAAGTTTATAAAATCCACAAATAGCCACTATTTTATTTATTTTTTGTTTGCTTTGCTCCTTCGAATTCATTGTGACTCGAATCTCTGAAACTACAAAAAGATTTCGAGCATGAAATGTTAACCACATGAATGCTGCAGTGCAGCAAAAGACTGATCTTAGTTTCCTATACGAAAAATTTATAGTTTATGAGATTCGTGCCATCGAAAATTCGAAGTGGTAAGATAAAATAAACAAAATAGCGGTCATTTGTGGATTATGTCAACTCTCACCTTAACACTTGATTTTTTAATGTTGCCCATACTATGACCACAGTAGACTGTGCAGACCATAGCCGAGAACGGTCAAAGCACATTTCCGCCTGTTTGTGTATAGTATGTTCAGGAGAAATTTCAGGAGAGCAACTGAGAACTAGCAGTTTTTGAGAATATTAGGTAGAGAAAACATTATGGGCTGTTGGAGAAAAACAGGGTCGTATTCCAAGAGAGCTCTTTCAAAATTCGGAATGTAAGCTCCAAGAGACAAAATCCACCTTTCTCTCGGAAGCTGTTCCTGGTACTTCAGTTGCTGTCTACCTACTTCCTTCCAACATAGCTGGATAAACGTACACAAACGAGTGTAGGTATATAGAGAATGCTCTTGCTTTGTAATTTATTGCGTTTGATGCGCTGCTTTGTTGGAAAACGAGGTTATACGATACGTAAACGACCGCTCTCGATTCCTCTTTCGGTCACGAGGGCACTGCACTTTGCGATAATCATTGGATTCGGAAGGATCTTTTACTGCACGAGCGACTTGAACTACCTAGATTTGGAACTATTTTCATATAAATTGTGATTTAACTAGAATTACCATTCAGTGGATTATTTGGAATTTGAAAACACAATACTAAATTGACGCATCCACACATTTTGGTAAAAAATGTAAGAATGCCTTAGTTGTAGATAAACCCAACTGGCACGGCTCTTGACGGGTCAGGAGCAGCAAGCAAGCAAGCAACTGCTGGGCTATTCTACAGCAGTAGCAAAAATCAAATGTACAACCTTTGAAATGTAGGCCAACACCAAGCCTTGTGTGGTACATATTTCTGTGCTATGTATTCCTGGCTGAGTGTGACGGGTAAATAGAGGAAGCTGTTCCTGGTTTTGGCTGCAACAAACTCTGGCAGTATACAAGGGACGTGACAGTGATTTAGACGTATTTCCGTAGACTTTCCACGCGACTATAGGAAAAGCAAAAGAAAGAGTGAATTTCATTGGTGAATCAAACTGTGATATAAGTTTTTAGTATTTATTCCTACGATTATTGAAGTATATTTTAAAATAATTTATACAAAAATAACGTTACTAAACATAAATATCAGAGCACCGTACATTCATAATTCGTGACACCTGACTGAAACATTTGAATACGGTTTATTTTAACTAAAGCTAAGAATCTGTAGAATATGTGTAGAAAAGTACGAAAACGACAATAATTTCTACGGAACATAAATTCACCTAGAAAGAAAACCTGGAGCAAACCCGTGCCTGCTCTACTTTTACAAGTGTTCACTGGAACATTGAACCAGGACAAGGGGCTCAGCTTTTTTTTTGAGCAAGAAGTCACTGCTATATAACACAAATACTACAGGAATGTGGTCAGCAGCATTATGCACACTCGGTGTATCTAAACCAATTTGGGGATGCAATTGCCTAAACTTTCGACAAGGAATGGCTTCGGTACTTGTCATAAAATATATTTAAATTTAAATCTGGTGCTAATCCATCTATATTTTCTCTGTTGGATGCAATTTCCCATTTTAGGAGTCTCGCGGCAAGAGGCCTTTAAAAATCTGGGACAGTTGGCGCAATGTCCGCAAAGGTCTCGTCGTAGGTAGTTTCGAGGAACTAATAGTTAGAGGTGAGTTAATTTATCGTTTATAGTAGTATGATGAACAGTGTGAATTTTGGTAGAATGGACCAGTTAAAAAATCTTAAATGAGATTTCAGTTCTCAAAATAACGAAAAAGTAGGCCAAGCTTACCACAGTGAAATGAATCTCCTGCTCCACAGAGAAGCTTGTATGTAGTAGGCAGGATAGAAATTTGTATGTCAAACACACATAGAACCAGTTAATAATCAATTGGAGGAAATTGTGATCACAGTAGTCTCCGAAAATATCCTTTTCGTGATAGTATGCGTATCATTGAGAGCTTAAATGTGTGGAGAAGTGTCATTGCGCAGTGGGACATTTCTCCTGCGAATCCATGCAAAAAGAGTGAGATTTGTATATAACCGAGAACCGAAATCAAGAAACGCTTCACATGACACTGTAAAAATCAGACATACTGAATTTCACAACCAATTTTCCTACGTCTACTGCAGTTGACATCTATTGAATATTGCAGGGAAAGATAAACTAGGAGTACCTGCATCAGAACCGGTTCGATTGGTTCTAGAATGCGATGGCACTCAAGTAGAGGATGGAGAATATTTTCGGACGCTAGCCAACAACACTGTGCTGTTACTGCTGCGGCAGGGAGAGAGGTGGTACCCAACAGGTGTCGATGTGATCAAAGCTGGTAAGTTTTGTTTTTTAGCTTTAGTTGAAATGCATTTAAAAAGCATAACTTAAACTGTGTACTTAGTGATAGAGTTCAATTTTTTTTTAATACTATCAAACATAGTAGCTCACATGTGACATCAAATTATGTAAAGTGCGTTTTTAGAGGTGTGGTAAACAATTAAAAAAATACCAGTACACATTTGGAATTTCTACAATGATTGCACAAATCTAAAAAAAACACTTGAATTTAAAAATAACATGTACACTATAGAATAAAATTTTGTTTGTCACTTTTACTTAAATAATTCTTATTTAAACTGTCTTCTGACGACTTTTACAGCCTGTTCATTTATGCCTTAACATTTTTAATTCTGCAATTAACAGCAAATTTCATACTAAAATAAGCCTTTTATCAATTTAGGTTCATTAATGTTTTAATTGAAAAGGCCATCTAGGCCTAGCTAAGCTAAGGTACACAGCAAAAATTTGTTTTAATATCACATCAAAGTGGCTGCAGTTCAATCGGGTCAAAAAAATTGTGTAATATTACTTGCCAAAAAGGACAAAATTATCATTAATACAGTGCATTAACTGGAATTACGCTGCTTTTACTACATTTGTTTATTGTTTGGCCATAAAAATTACATGAGATTTTCGACATGATTGAAGTGCATCCTTTTGGATGTAATATAAAAAAATATTTTTTGCAGTGTAGCAACTAACATATGTGCAAAGTTTCATTCATATCGGAAAGGGTTGGGACACTCGATAATAGTCGAGTGTTAGTACAAGACACTGAAGAAGTCTGCACATTGTAGGCGAAATCCGCGTATCTGTCCAGGATAAGCAAATAAGGTAGTGGAATTAAATAAAAATTACTAATCCTTTTCTGCTGGTTACGGGCTTCACAAACTTAGGAGCTTCTTAAACACAGGGTAAACAATTAATTGTATGCCACAGTTATATGTAAAATATTTAGTGGAGATATCTAGCTGTGCAACTTCCTTGTGAATTCATATGCATTTTATGGGAAACAATATAGGGCTTATTGCTGCATTGTTTACACTTTACATTGTTTTATGCGTCAGAAGAAAGTTGTTAGGTAACCATTAGTCTATGAATAAAAATCACACTTATGGCGGTAAGCTCCAACTCGGATTAACTTTTAATACCGTCCCTGTTTGGATGATCTGCAAAATGTTTACTTAGAGTCATGCTGATTAACTCTGATGTCGACATCAAAGCAGTCGGGATTTAATCGGAGGATAATACCGGTTGGAATTTACCGCCATTAGAGTGGAGTGAAATCTAAAAATCGAGTGTCAATCCGTCTAAATATCGTACTGCTTGTGGATGTACCTATAATTATTCCCTGTTCTTTTTTTCAATTAGTTTATTTGTATTTGTAAAGAATATGTAACTTTCTTTGTAAAACAATTTCAAAGTTGACCTTCCTAGTGCATAGAGGTCATTTTTGGCCTGGAAACACTGTGTGAATTCTTTCTAATACATTAGGGAGGTTAACGACAAAATGAATATAGTTTATTCAGGTACGATGTTCTCAAATATAATCATCACCAGAAGCAACATCACGCAGAATTTAGTAAGGCCCGTGATAGTCAAAAGCTAAACATTTTTACAAATATTTGGGTTTATATGGTCACTACACGTTTTGATCTGGATTTGTGGTAGTACTATAAATGTTGTACTATAAATGTTGTTGTATGTATGGTAAACGGTATTAATCTATTAATTTACTGATCAAAAGTCTCGTATCAGTTTTCTCTCAGCTGTCGAAGTAGTAGCAGCTGTTCTTCACGGTGTCTATCCCGCTATCGGCAGTTATTTACTTATTTTGGTGTGTTTAGATCATTGCCTGTAGCTCGGTCAGTGTCTTTGTCGTAGCTGTTGGAAGCATTAATTTCGACAATAAAGGTAAAAATAAAGTGAACCCTTTGTTGTGCCTTTCCAAAGAGAAATGCAAAGCCTACCAAGGGTGACATTACCAATTTCGTGAAATCACTGAATGTGAATCCAATTCACATGGATGCAACATAGCGAATAGTGGACGATAAGGCTATCTTTATCAAGTTTAAATCTGAGACAAGTATGCACACAAAGGTAAGCATAAACATTTTGGATGAATTTAGTACACATTTATAAAGTTTTCACTTTCTGTAACTCTTGTGCGTTACTTAGAACAGCAATTCAAACTTCAACGGCTTAGAAGCTACCAATAGAAAAGTTCTCAAGTCATAGTTCGCGATCTATTTCATCACATATCGGAACCGGGAAGTTGTGTAAAGAACTTAGAACAACAAATATGTTTTAAAATATGCTTTGTCTCGCTGGTGAGTCAAAGCGGGAGTGATATCCCAAGTAACATTATAAGTTTTATAAAATACTACAAAGCTACTGTAAAACAACATTCATAAAACCCTGATCAAAGCTATTTTGTCATCAATGCATACACCAAAACCTCATTAAGGCAAGAATATGTCTAGTTGTCCCACCCTGGAGAAAGTTCTGAAGAGTGTATTCTCGAAGCTCTTCAAGATTGATTTACTGTCAAAGGTTGTGAACGCATTGAGAACCATTTGAAAGCTACAATAAAAGCTATTTAGCAACAATAAAACCCTTTCCAAGCCATTTCCCTTAGCCGCATGCTGAATCCACTAGAAAAGCATTAATCAAGATAGAAAAGGATTTATGAATCCGATCTTATCAAAATAAGTAAAATATAAACTGATGGTATAAAAATCTTGTTGACTATCCAAATTTATTACAATAGTTCTCATTAAGTGGCCTGGTTTTAAGTGCCATATCAAATTTTATGTGAAATTTACGTGAAAACATCGAAAAAATTAAGTGCACCCTCGTAAAACCTCGATTTGACTAATTATTTAACATTGAAAAATAAAATATATTCTTCAGATCGAGCTTGGCCGAGATTTTTTTTTATTATTTTTGCATTTAAATGTTTTCTCATTGCTAAGTTTACCAAAATATAGTTATATATAAGGAAATATAGATTTAAACTAAAGATTGTAAAAAACAAGCAAACTAATTGTAACATGGCGGTAGCATAAAAGTTGATTTTCATTGATCATTTGTGAAAAAGTTGTTTTGCTTTTAAGAATTCCTTAACAAAATAATAAGGTTTTAAAATGGGTTTTATGAAGAAAACTTGCAGGCTGAATTGTATTTATCTAAAGTCATTTTGCTTGATCCTAACCCGTTCAGATTTATGGCAGCATTTATGGAGGCAAAGATGTCTGCAAAAAGTTAAACGTCAAAGTTTGTTTATTTTTCGATATTTGCGCTGTGGAATCCAGGGTTCTTGCAGGTAGTTTTCTCCCGATAGATTGGGAGCAGTTACTCAGACAGTTTGCGATACTGTTTTACAACATTTCGCATTTCGAACAGCTGGAAGCGCAATCGTTCCCGAAAAATATTCCTTTCTTCCGGATGGTTACAGAAGTGCACCATCCAACGATGCAAGGATGTACGCTTGAATGAAACTTTCGAAGAGTTGATTCTTTCGCCGAATAAAATCGCTGCTATGGATCGGAAACCAGCTAATCTCCGCTAACTAACAATTTCAGTGGTTTGCTGTCGGTTGTCATCTTTTCGCAAGATCTGGAGAAGGCTGGTATGTTTTTTAAACTTTCGACAATGTTGTATGAATTCGAGAGCCCCGCTCAGTTTGCTCTTCTCCGCCAGATAGTCAGTCGTTGATGGTGTGTTGGTTCTTCTGAAGAAGTAAATTTTGCTGAAATCGACTTGAATTTTTCATCTTACTTCGTCTATCCTTCGAGATTTCCTTGTCATAAATTTGGCATTTATTAACTATGAGGAACCATCTTTCAAGCTCAATTTGTAAACAGAGTAATTGGGGAGTTAATGATGCACTTTATAAATCCTGAACAGCAACAATAAATGCTTTTTCCTCTAATGCAAAACCTAATGGTTTTATGGTTGCTTTTATAATGATAAAACACGTTTATAAAGTATTTTATCAAGAAATTAATAAACAATTGCTAATGACGTTTGTGCTTGAATTACAGAACAGTTTTAAGGAGAGATTGATAACTGTTTTATTTTTTTTTTAACAGGATAGTTTTTGACTTTCCTGTCAGACAATAAAAGGTTTTTTAAACAGCAAAAAGCTTAATTACTAAGCAGGAATGTTTTACACTTTGAAATGCTATATTTAAACTAAATGGATTGTTCATTGCCGTTATAAAACCATCATAAATCAGAGTGGATGCTAAATGGTTACTGAATTGTTACTTGGGATTAGTTCCTTTCAATCGCAGACAAGAAAGTTCGCCCGAGAAATAACGCTTTGTGAAATTTGTATCGCAATGTTTCCTAGCGAAACCATCTCGCTCGCCATAATGAACTTTGGCGATATTTCCAACACTGCTCGAGAGAGCGAATCTCCAGGACGGGATTTAATCTAAATTTTAACTAACGTATGTGAAAAAAACCGTTTTTTAATGTCCCTGCGAGGAATCCCAAGCATTCATATATTTACTGTTAACAGTCCAATTTTGAAAGTGATACGTATTATTTTCTGTAGTTATGACCAAAACAACGAGGAGACCTCGCGCGATGTCGTGTTTGCCATACATTGTCCCATTTTATATAGCAAGTGTCCCATTGGATATAGAAATAAATTACGAAAAATACGCAGTTTTTTTCCTGACCTTGCACCGTTCCATTGCGCAAGAAGATCGACAAATTAAATCGAGCGCTTTTTGACACCTGTTCCACATTCAATTGAAAAAATGCTCAAAACTCAACACAAGGATCTACTCTAATAACTTTGTGTTTAAAAACGTGGAAAATTTTATCAAAAAGGCAAAGAAGGAGCATAAAATGACCCAACAATCTATTCGCAAGGCTTTCAAAAATGGCGTGAACTCATTTTATAAGCAGAATAATGAACAATATTTGCAAGCAAAAAACATTTGGTCTCAGTATCTTTTTTACAGCGAACGTTACTTGAAC